AAGCCACTCCCACAAAGGAGGCCACACCCACAGAGTAGGTTCGAACAATTTTTGAAACCCACCACTGGTCCAAATGTACAAATGATTCACTTAGCAACAGAAATGTTGGGCTCAATTGTGATCATAACTCGAGGACTCCTTGTACAAAGGAATCTGATCCACTAACAGTCAAAACTGAATTGGTTCTAAATAAGGGCCAATGGAATTCACAGGTGGGGGGGGGAAGAGCTGGACTTGAGTCTTTTGTGGCAACGCCAAGACTCCAAACTGATGACTTGTTTAACTCCACCTTCCAGCTTAGCCTGCTTTCTACAGCCAGTTACTATCTAGTGTATAGGAAAGTGTCCAAGTGCTTACATTGAAAACCCACAATCAAAAGCTGCTTCCTTCTGCAGACACATTGAAAATGCTGAATCTGAGCTCAAACAGTCCCAGACCCATTTTGAGGGTGCTGAGTAACGGGAAGGCTGAATTACAAAGAGAGGCAAGAGGGTAAGGCTACTTAACGACGAACAAGGGAGTGGTAACAGCAAGAACAAGAGAAAGGAAGTGGGTGTAATTTATGGGGTGTTTTGCAAAAATTTACATGTAGCTGAGAGGCGTCTTAACACATGAATAGCTACTGGCTAACTAACTATTCTTAGCCATGTGGAAGTAGCCAGGAAAACCTATAGAAATGCAAAATGAAAAGGGATACCTGGGAGATTTATGTTGGCCAGAAAATAAAAGTTGTAATTAAAGCACCGATTGTCAAAAAAATACAGTTTATAAAAACAAAATTGTCAAGGAAATTATGTATTTTTTTTTTATTTTGTTTTGGGTGGAGAGTAGGTGGTTTATCAAATGCCAGCATGTGAACCCTGAAGAAGCAGTGAGAATCCACATTGATGTACGAGCCAAGAAGTCCATCGGGATTCATTGGGGAACTTTTGCTTTAGCCAACGAGGTACGTATAACTCACAAGTTTGTGCTGCCTGCAGAACTTTAAAGTGGAAGGATATAGAAGAGTGATGGCTAATCTTTTTGTCGTTCCCAAACTCCCGTTGGGCTCCGTTGGGCTGTTTTTCACCCTACCCAGGCTTCAGGAAGTTCCCCGAACTTCCGGTTTGTGCGCTGGGCGGTTTTTCGCCCTCCTGAGGCTTCACAGCACAATCCTTTCAGCAGTTCCAAGAAGGCTCCACATCCATTTGCACAACTCAGGAGACCCTGAGGAGACAGATAAACCTCCAAGTGGCCTCGACGACTCTCTCAAAGGATGCAAATGACCAGCTGCCTGCAAAGCGTTCCTTTCCCCACCCGTGACCCGACAAATGCGCGCACGATAAAAGCGGGCCGACAAAACTGTGGCAAGAAAACCGTAACGTCGAAATCGCGCCCACAACAGCGTGCCGACAACAGGGCACCGACAAAAGCGCGATTAGGGTTAAGGTAAGGGTTAGAGTTAGGGTTAGGGTTAGGTTCAGGGGTTAGGTTTAGGGTTAGGTTTAGGGTTATTACAGTATCCTTCCTCTGCCATGTCTGCCAAGCCACACCCACCAAGCCATTCCACGCCCACCAAGCCATGCCCACAGAACCGGCAGTAAAAAAATTTGAATCCCACCACTGATTCTCACCCCATTCCAGGGGAAGGATACTGTAAAATCTCCATTCCCTCCCGATCAGTTGGGACTCAAGAGGCAGAGAATAGATGGGGGAGGGACCAATCAGAGGTGGTGTTTCTCAAAAGTACTCAAAATTTCCGCCACCGGTTCTCCAGATGGTTGATGGTGCGCTTTTGTCGGCGCGCTGTTGGTGCGCTGTTGTGGGCGCGATTTCAACATGGCGGTTTTCTCGCCGTGCTTTTTTGGCCGCGCTTTTGTCGTGCGCACATTTGTCGTTGAACCTTCCCCACCATCCAGTCAGAGCTGAAGAAGCTGCTTGGAGCTTCTCCGTGGAGATCCGCACCCTCACCACCGTCCAGGCCTTCCGCATGGCCCTCAAGATCTGGCTATCCCGTCAGGCCTGG